TTTTTTTGTTGATTTGCTTTGTTTTGTTTTTTTGAATGTCCAGAGGACCAGATTTAACTTTTTTAGATTAAATTTGAGGTACAACTTTACTGCAGTCTTGAAGCTACAGACGTGTGAAGCACACGATAACTTTGATTTTAATGACTTGTGGTATCTACAAGGCTGTGCTGTCAAAAACGCTAAACGAACAACATGCCTCTCTGGAGATTGTTGTTTTAGACCTGACACTTCCTTTTGTGTCTTCCACTTTTTTCATGTTTTTAAGAACACAACACGCTGTCATAAGGAAGGACTGACCAAAAAAATGAATGAACTTCAGAAACTTTTGTTTGAGATCACATTAAAATATTACAAGAATTCCTGGCTCCTTAGGATCTTTTATAACGTATGAGTCACACAAAATCAACAACAATAAGAGAAATGGAAAGTGTTTCCTTTATTTTATGACATGTCCTTTCATGGACCACCTCTCAGCAGACACACCCCAGCACCTCGGAGAACTCAACTAAAGCACTTAACACACCTATGACCTGCTGTGTCACTGCACTCTCACCCACACCATCTGCCACATGTGGACAGGTAACTCAAGCCTGCAAATGGAGACGTGCATACGCCAACGCTCAAGCATGTGAACCGAAGGCCTACAGCCAAAGCGTGTGCAAAAAGTACAACGATTCAAAAGAGATGAACACATCTTTACGGTTACATCGAAGTAAAAAAAACAAAAAAAAAACACGTTGACATGAAGAGTTTGAATCAGGAAAATCACCCTTTTAAAAAAAAACAAGCACACTCCGCACATAAGCGACCCGTTTTGGTGACACGGCTCTCAGCGTGTGGCACAGTTACAAAACAATCATGTCTAAGTTAAAGCTCCACCTCAGAGCTGGTGTTGAAGCTCATGCAGTGGGGAAGAAAGTAAAATCTTACAACTTTATATTCATGAGAGCCTCTGCACAGACACATGCGGGCCTCTTGCTCCATCCAGTGGTTACTGACAGAACTACAGCTGCACGTGATCCCAGCAGTGAACGAGACCTCCTGTTCTGGAAACTGTCCAAACAGCATTTGTGTCCACACAGGATGAAGGTGACGAACACATGCCCATTTTCAAATATTACACACAGGAAGGTAACATTTATGTGCTCCAAATGATTTTACAGTAGTCCTTCGCAGTTTGACTTTCGTAGACTCGCTCTTTCGCGCCTTTTCAACGATTGTCAATTTAAATGTTACTCACGTGATTGGGACAGTACAGGATCATGGTATATGGACTGTACTTGTGTAGCACCTTTCTATCTTACCAACATACTCAAAGCATTTTACAACACAATCTGTGCCTCATTTACCCGTTCAGATAGCACTCTACTATATACAAAAACTAATCAGTGCTTATTCATACACTGGTGGGACACACCTCTGAGGCTATGAGGGGTTCAGCATCTTGTCCAGGGCCACTTCAGCATGTGACTGCTGGTGGACTTGAACCTCCAACTCTTGCAATGGAGAACAACTGCTCTAACCACTCAGCCATGGCCGCCGATAAAAAGTTAATAAAAAAAAAAAAAAACTTTGAATAGGCGCCACCATTTTGTAGTTTTCTTTCAATACGCCTACACTGTAATGTCAGTCAAAAGAACTACACTACCCAGAAGCCAACAGTGCTTCTGGGGGCTGCTTTTTGCTGAAACGGAGGAAAAGTTTTGCAACGCAAATCTACATTATCTATTAAGCTTAAAGAACTTGCAGGTAAGTTGCAAATAATCCTTAAGCTGAATTATCCACGTGCGCATGAACCTGGACGAGGCGGTGGGCTTCATGCTGCAGGGTAGGTCTGCAGAACCAGAACCGAGCCCGACCCGAACAGAGCTGCTGTTCTGCAGAGCGGGTGAGTAAAATGTTGCAGTACTGTACAGCACATACATGTATGTTGTTACAATGATGGTTTAGGAGTTAAGAACATTGCAAGAGTGTGGGAAGGGTTTATAAAGCATTAAAACATATAAAAATACTAAAATAAATATAGCGTTCCTACTTGGCGGTTTCTCACCTATCACAGGAGTGTTTGGAATGAAACCCCCGCGATAATCGAGGGGTTACACTGTATTTTTACTAAACTGAAACTAAAATCATTAATAACTGCAGCCATTTTTTTTTTTTAGAAAATAAAAAAAAGATAAAAACACAACTCCTGTTTCACTAAGTTTGTGTTTTTTCCTTAAACCTTTAAAAAAATTGCTTTGATCTTAGTGAGAACGTATTGAAATAGATGATAAATTTGGTATTTGCGCTGCATCTCTCCTTCATAACCCAAAACAAAATGAATATTAATGGCTTTAGGTCCGCGCTGGCTTTACTAAGTTGTTTTTTTTTTAAACATGCTTTACAGAACTAGTTATTTTTCTCTGTGTGAAGGGAGTGCTCAGCATCCCAACTAATAAAAAGTGTAGAACATATAGTGAGGTCTATAAATACTTGTACAATAATTAATACTTCATACAACAAAACTAAACATAAGCTTTTAAGATGCTCGCTATTGTAAATTTAATTTAATGATTTATTTAATGGTCGACATGTTGCAATAAATATTAAAGACAGACCTCATCATATAAGAAATGTATTTTCTCAGATTTGACATTCCTCGAGGCTCAATGGGATTTACCTGTATAAATAAAGGTTGATTGATTCAACAACCTGTTGAGCTAATTGTGGTTTAATCCATGAATAGCTACAGCAATCTTTTTATATCTCATAAATCAAACGTTAGATGCTGGAGAGTGTTCGTGTGTGGTACCTGGTCACATCCTCTGGGTTACTTGTCCTTGCTGCCTCCAGAAGAGCATCACCTTGGCATGTCAAAGATACACACACACACAAAGTCACTTACGAATAAAACACAAAAATGATAACTACAGAGTCAAGTACATGTATATAATCCACAGTGGGTTTTGTTTGTTACTTTTTAGGCAAATTTTAAATCACGCTTATGGTTAATTTCTATGGTTTCTATATTAATGTTACAAATTTACAGCATTTTCTAAAGTAAGAACATTTTTGTATACACGACGAACAAAACAACAAAAAGACAAAAATAATTTAAAAATCATTCAGTTGGAGTGAAGCAAATAAAAAATGTGAGCTGACAAAAGTATTAAAATCATATAAAGACCTAAAACTAAACATAAAACAGTCATTAGAAAAATGCTTATTATTTTTTACTTAACCTTTATTTATACAGGCAGTCTCACTGAGTCACGAGGACTCATTTTCACATTTTCGGGTCTGTTTGGGAGCAGCTGGGGGGTTAGGGCCTTGCTCAGGGGCCCTGGGGTGGAGGCAGGTGTGGGCGTTTCATGTTTTCTACCCACATTTTGTTGTAGGTCCGGGGAGTTGAACCTGCGACCTTCCGATCACATGCCCACCTTCTCTAACCTCTGCGCCACCACTCCTCTAAAACACCATTAAGCCCTCCCCACATTTAAAACACCACAGAGATTTTATTCTGACTTCCAGAGGACGCAAACTCGTCAGATTATTTTCAGGATTATTCAGTGTACCTTTGTTATCGGAGTCTTTTCTCAGACAGAAGGCCAGCGCTGCTGCCGACAGCACCCCGGCAGAGGCGAGCCCTGCGCGGCCAGCTGCTCCGCCTCGACCCCCGTCCTCCCAGTACTGGTTGTTGTTGCGCCCCCTGCTGGCCAAAGCGGCCCACGAGCTGCGGCGGTTCTCCAGGTTCGACAGCCATCTTGGGGCGAGGTGGTGATACTGCACCGATGGGTTTACACTCGAGCCCGAGGTCTCCTCCGACAGAATCCCCCTCCTGGACACCCGGGACGTGGAAATGACGGGGTGGCGGTTCGTCTCCGCCGGTGAGTCGCGGATGCTCGGACTTCTTGTGGCGCCGCTGGTCTGGAGCACGCGACTGCACGGTGACAGGCTGCGCGACCTTCGCGTTAGTAGCCTGGTAGGAACAGATGACAACATGGCGATAAACTCGCGGAAAACGGGAAGGTGGACGAAACTCTCAGTCCGACGCTAATCCCAGAAGAACAATATATCCAGGGAGTCCAGCACAGCGTCTCAGTTCAAGGTGTAAAGACCCCAGATCCCCCAGTTCACCGGCAGCACGTTAAACACATCAGGACAAAAATAATCGTCGGAGCGTGGACGTCACTAGAACCCGCGATGCATTCTGGGAAAGAGAGTTCTATCTGTGTAACTGGCCGAAAGGTGCCAGTTTTTTTACTTATTAGTTGAAGACCTAAACAAAAGCCTAACTTGTCCAACGTTTAAAAGCTGCTTCTTTGTAGATAACCCGACTAAAATTATCTTTTATATACGTGTGTTGACTGAATATGATAGCTAAATGAATAGACCAAGTAGAAGTTTCTTTTTAGCAGAAAGCTTTTTCTTTACATCCCTTTCATTATCTCCAAACAACAGAGAGAGGGATATTTAGATTTTCAGTGGGTTTCTCTTTTGTCCACTCCAACAACTGCTCTCTAAATAACTTACACAAATGTGATGTTTTAAGCTGTTTGGTAAAAGTACATGCACTTATGCATCATGGCCACCAGATGGCACAAAGACATGGGTTAGAGGTTAAATGCATAAAAGTAAGCTTCAAAAAAGAAAATGGAACGCAAATAATCTAAATTTTCACACAAAGCACTGTTTTCCTCATAAAATATGAATGAGCACTATACAATTCTGAGTAAACTCAAACAATGGTATCAAATTACTTTAATTTATTTTATGTATTTTTTTGTTATTCTGCTCTATGAATGAAATGTTAGGTTTAATAATATGCCAGCTGATTCCTATTAACTCGACGGTGTGTGTGTTTAAAAAGTAATAATTTGTTCAAGCTTTTCCATGGGTATAAACAGTTTGAGTCTCTCAAAAACACAAGGAGCACGGTGGCGCAACTGGTAGAGCTGCTGCCTCTCAGCGAGAAGGTCCTTGGTTCAAACCCCGGTCCAGGGGCCTTTCTGGGTGGAGTTTGCATGTTCTCTCCGTGCATGCGTGGGTTTTCTCCGGGTGCTCCGGTTTCCTCCCACAGACCAAAAACATGCATGTTAGGCTGATTGGTAACTCTAAATTGTCCCTAGGTGTGAGTGAGAGAGTGAATGGTTGTTTGTCTCGTTTGTCTCTATGTGGCCCTGTGATGGACTTGCGACCCGTCCAGGGTGTACCCCGCCCCTCGCACAGTGATTGCTGGACATGGGCACCAGCGACCCCCGTGACCCAAAAATGGAATAAACGGGTAAAGATAATGGATGGATGGATGGATGGAAAAACACAAGGAGCGAAATAATTCTGTTTGTTCATGGAAGAGCCCCTGGCCTAACACACGTGTGTACTAAGGAAAAGCCCATTGGGACAGTCTTTAATCAATAAAAGAAACAGTACTTTTAATGCAGTTAAGTTGTATTTTAATTAGAAGGTTTTTTTTGTTTTGTTTTATCACACTATAGCAAACTGTTAAAATTAACTAAAAACATTAGATTCAAAATAACTGTAAATCAAATAATACCCATCTATCCATTCATCCTCTTAAACTGCTTTTCCATACAGGGTCACAGAGCTGGTGTATCTCCAGCAGCAGAGGCAGGTTACAGGTTACAAGTTCAAACAACGCCCATCTATCTTTTTTTTCAGTGTACCTACTCAGTAAATATTATGTCAGGTTTGTTTTCTTGCAACCATATCCTTTAGAATAATCCATCCATCCATCATCTTCTGCTTGTTCTCAAGTCAGGTCACGGGGGCAGCAGCTTGAGCAGGGAGGTCCAGACATCTTTTTTCACAGCCACCTCTTCCACCTCTTCTGGGAGGACCCCAAAGTGATCCCAGGCCAACTGAGAGACATAGTCTCTCCAGTGTGTCCTGGGTCTTCCCCGAGGTCTCCTCTCAGTCGGACATGCCCGAAGCACCTCCCTAGGGAGGCACCCAGGAAGCATCCTTACCAGATGCCCAAACCACCTCAACTGGTTCCTCTCGATGTGGAGGAGCAACAGTTTTTACTCCAAGTCTCTCTCGGATAACTGAACTTCTCACCCTTTCTCTAAGGGAGAGTCCATCTACCTTGTGGAGGAAACTCATTTCAACCACCTGTATCTGCGATCTCATTCTTTCGGTCATTACCCACAGAGTTTGTGACCATAGGTGAAGGTAGGAACATAGACCGATAGTAAACAGAGAGCTTTGCCTCAGCTGTCTGTTCACCACAATGGATCAGCACAGAGTCCACAATACTGCAGATGCTGCATCAATCCATCTGTCAACCTCATGCTCCATTCTTCCCTCACTCGTGAACAAAACCCCGAGATACTTGAACTCCTCCACTTGAGGCAGAACCTCACCCTCGACCTGAAGAAAGCAATCCACCCTTTTCCGACTGAGGACCATGGCCTCAGATTTGGAGGTGCTGATTCTCATCCCAGATACTTCACACTCAGCTGTGAACTGTTCCAGTGAGAGCTGAAGATCACAGCACAATGACGCCAACAGGACCACTTCATCTGCAAAGAGCAGAGGTGGAATCCTGAGACCACCGAACCGGAAACCTTCCACCCGCTGGCTGCACCGAGAAATTCTGTCCATAAAAGTTATGAACAGAGTCGGTGACAATGAGCAGCCCTGGAGGAGTTCGACCATCTCCCACTCTGAAGGGGTCAGACTTACTGCCGGCAATGTGAACCAAACTCTTGCACCACTTGTATAGGGACTGAGCAGGCCTTAACAACGGGCCCCCAATCCCATACTCATGGAGCACCCCCACAGTTTACTCCGAGGAACACGGTTGAATGCCTTCTCCAAGCCCACAAAACATGTAGACTAGATGGGCAAACTCCCATGACCCCTCGAGGACCCCAGTGAGGGTAAAGAGCTGATCCAGTGTTCTACAGCCAGGACAGAACCTGCATTGTTCCTCCTGGATCTGAGGTTTGACCAATGATCGGACTCGCTTCTCCAGTACCCCTGAATAGACCTTACCAGGGAGGCTGAGGAGAGTGATGCCCCTATAATTGGAGCACACCCTCCAGTCCCCCTTTTTGAAAAGGGGAACCACCACCCCAGTCTGCCAATCCAGTGGCACTGCCCCTGATGTCCACGCAATGTTACAAAGGCGTGTCAACCAAGACAGCCCAACAACAAACATCCAGAGCCTTAAGGAAATCAGGGTGAATCTCATCCACCCCCGGAGCCCTGCCGCCGCAGAGCTTTTTAACTACCTCAGCGACCTCAGCCAGTTATGGAAAGACTAAGCAATATATAATATGAGCAAAATACAATATAATTAATATGTAATATAACTCAAAGTTTCAGGAATGTTCAAACCTCTACAGTGAAACATAATCTGAAATATTGCACTTTTATTTCGTAAAAAGAGCAAAGTCACACATCAGAATTTTGCGTCATACCTTTTGTCTTGTAACAGAAAATCAACAATGCATCCTTACATTATACACATTATAAAGGCCAAAGACGGAGTGTAAACCTGAGGAAACCCAGTTCATCACTTCCTGCAATCAAAACCTGATGGTGACCCTGAGATAACTTTATCAGCTTGCTTCTGTCGTTTACATTCTCATTTCCTGTAGAGAAGTGATGCTGCAAGACATTAACAAACACTCATTTACACTGAAAGCATTAGGAAATAATTTAGGATAAGAACAACACTTGTTTAGTAAAAATAACACCTGCGGGATCAATAATGTTCTATCTTATCGTATCTTGTGAACTTGTGATGGACTGGTCACCTGTCCAGGATGTACCCCGCTGAAGACAGGTACCAGGTCTGACGACACAAAATAAGAACAAATCAGTAAAGAAAGTAGATGGATGGATTCATGGATACTTTGGATAGATTTTTCAGACATTCAAGGTTATATTGATTTATATTTTATATTTGTCACAGAATACACAATGATTTAAGAAAAAAAAAGCATGCCCTTACACTTCAGTGCAGTATACTTGTACTTTATTTAATGGGTATGTGATGTACTAGTACTACTGTGCTTAAGTCAACATGACTCATAGAGAACAGCATACTCTACCATCATAAATCCACTGGCATATTTCAGAGTTGTCACTGTGGGTTTGCTGTCAGACATGTGACATTAATTTCCCCCAAAAGACACATCTGTTGTGACAATGTATTTTCACTGGCTCTGAGAGGCAATGTAGAAGTCTGGGTGCTGCTTGGAGTTAACGATTTTAAACAAAAAAGGCCAAAAGTGACCAGATTTGTAGGACATTAATTACTACTAGCGGTTTTGATTCATATATATATATTTTCCATCCATCCATTATCTTTTACCCGCTTCTTCCTTTTTGGGTCACGGGGGTCGCCGATGCCCACATCCAGCAGTCACAGTGCGAGGGACGGGGTACACCCTGGACAGGTCGCAGTCCATCACAGGGACACAGAGACAAATGAGACAAACAACCATTCACTCTCTCACTCACACCTAGGGACAATTTAGAGTTATCAATCAGCCTTGGTCTGTGGGAGGAAACCGGAGTACCCGGAGTATCTGAGAGCGCACGCTGTAGCTGCACTCACACAGGACATTATTACCTGCAGTGTTCCCTCAGTGCGGACTGAACTAGGCAAAAGGGCCTTCTCCTACTCCGCTCCTGTTTCCTGGAATATATCTGTGCTATATCTAATCTGTGCTTTGGATCACATTCAAACACTGATGGGACACACATCTGAAGCAATGAGGGGTTCAGTGTCTTGCCCAGGGACACTTCAACATGTGACTGCTGGTGGAACCGAACCCCCAACTCTCCCACTGGAGGACGACTGCTCTAACTACTCAGCCACCCCAAAATCACATTAATCAGACGGTTTAGTTTTACACTTCTTCTTTTGACTGCTTCCTTCTTCAGGTGTCACGACGGCAATCTATCGCACGCGAAGACTTGGCAATTGTTTTTACACCGGATGCTCTTCCTGACGCAGCCATAGACCACCGAGCTACCACAGCCCTCTGTGTGGAGCAGAGAGCTGCCATTAGTGGTGCAAATGAAGGTAGAGACGGGTGCTTTACCGTTCCCACCCACATTTTGATGTTGGTCCATGGGGTTGAACCAGCGATCTTCCGATCACAGGCTCACCTTCTCTAACCTCTGCACCCTTACAAAGAGGGGAGTGATGGCGCAGGGAGTAAGAGATTTTAAACATTTGATAAGGTCAATAGAAAATTCTAAGCAAATACGTATGTTTTTGTTTTTAGTATTTTACTTTGTTTTTTCTTGATTTGACTGTTTTTTTATTTGATTTTTAATTGCTTTGTGTTGAAGTATTGTTGTCTGTATGTTATATTTTGTCAGGTTAAAACAGGTCTCTCTTGAAAATGAGTCCTCGTGACTCAGTGAGACTAACCTGTATAAAGGTTGAATGAATGAAAAAAAAAAACTTTCCCCAAAGTAACTAAAAATAAATGTTGTACTTTTCCAGCAGTTGCCCTTCGACATTCTACCTTAAGGGGTATCATGCAATCTTCATCTTTAAACGTCTGGTATCTGAAGAATTGATCCACCTCTTGCTCCAGGGTGTTTGTGGGAACTTCCAGTCCTCTGGTGTAGAATGAAACCAACTTCTTACATGACAATTCTTAACTTAGTCAAAGAGTCATAAATACTTGTATCTATGTCACATCCATTTCACACAGTTTGCGTCCTTCTACATTTAAGCATTGAAAACAATGTACAAATTTGTCCAACATTTATTTCCCTTTTATGTTGATTATCAGTCATGCATAACACAAACATCAAAATATTTGCTTATCTGTGCAGGAACATGCAAATTACTCACATAAATCATTCATTTAAATGTAGTTTCAATTTCAGACTGGCCATGAACATGAATTTTCATCTATTGCAATCTCTCAATCCTCATCCCTTATCTGGTTATGACAAACAAAGGTTATGACATTTTTCAAACCACAATTCAAACATTCCCGTTAATGACGTTTAAACCAGTTCATCTGCCATGGTTAAGATTCCATGCAGAATTATTTCATCACGTACGCTCCTTTGGAACTGTCAATTTATCAGTGTAGAGAGGACTGTCAAAAGCACCTTGAGGAGCACCTCTCTTAGTGCATGAGCACTCGTCTGCTGAGTCTGGTGATCTGGAAATATCACCGAAAATGGCATTACCAACTGTAACAGAGAGAATGTAACTGTAGGGTAAAACGAAGCGTTATACCTCCACAGGACCACCACACGTCGGCTCGTGTGCAGAAATGCTGTGAGAGTAGTTGTGAGGTGTCATTGACAGTCTGAACACAATTATTCACATGTCTCAAAGACATTCCAGAAGACAAAGTCCTTGCAAACAGGTAGTGTCCAGATGATGGTTTAAAAAGAGGGCGGCATGGTGGAGCAGTTGGTAGGGCTGTAGCCTGTCAGCGAGAAGGTCACTGGATCGAGTCCTGGACCTTGCTGGGTAGAGTTTGCTTGTTCTCTCCATGCATGTGTCGGTTTTCTCCGTGTACTCAGGCTTCCTTCCACAGACCAGAAACATGCATGTTAGGCAGATTGGTAACTCTGAATTGTCCCTAGGTGTGTGTGTGAGAGTGAATGTCTCTGTCCCCTAGACCTGTGACACCCTGGGCTGGAGACCTGTCCAGGGTGTCCCCCACCTCTCAACAGTGACTGCTGGATATGGGCACCAGTGACCCCCGCAACCCGGAAAGGAAGAAGTGGGTAAAGATAATGGATGGTTTAAAAAGAACAAGCAAGTTTATTTTAGTGCCCATTAATGTAAGAAAGAGTTGTGAAATGTTCTTTTGTAAGATGTAGCCAGATCTTGGTCATCTTACTACCAGTCCAAGTCTATCTCTTAGCAACTGTCTTTGTGGACAGTAAAATCAAACAACACTCCTACTAAGGGCCACGCCACCTATTCTCTATGTTTACTCTTGCAAACATCACACAAATTTTCGAATGTTTCTATTTTTCTGTATTAAATTTTTTCTTAAATGATTTATGAGCTCATTTCATTTTTCATCAGTTCGGGCCAATTACCTCTTTTTGACAACCTGAAAGGATTTTATTTAGAACGAACACTCGTAGTATGTCGCAGCATTTTATTTTCACCATTACAGCAGCCAGCGCCCAACCTGACAACTGAGCCTCTTGTATTGTTTTCACCCAAGTCCAGTCTGGG